ATTATTCTGAATTAGTATTTATTCGGCGTGTTATTGTGTCTTAATTAATAAGAAATGCTTACCAGCAAGTGTCAGACTTCAATAGAGGCAAGATTATTGCCTATCGAGAGTGTGGATTATTGTTCTGTGATATCGCGCGTCACACTGGCCAACATCCAACCACTGTCATGCAAATATGGAATCAGTATTGCTGAGGGTAATACTGAACGGCATGCAGGATCTCAACATCCTCCCATGGCTAATGCCTGAGAAGACAGACATATTGTGAGGCCAACCCTACAAAACCGTAGAACCACATCACAGACCATTAGTCAAGAAATGGGCATGTTTGCACACCCAGTATCCACTCGTACAGTGCGCTGACGTTTGCAGCAGCATGGATTATCAGCACAGCTGCCTTTGATAATGCAGCATAGAGAGAGATGGCAACTCTGGTGCACTGAACGACAAAGCTGGATATACGAGTGGCCAAATGTCATCTTTTCAGACGAGTCCCAGTTCTGTGTGTAGTATTCTGATGGCCGCATACGTATCCGAGGGGACGGCACATCACCTTCTTGCATTCAATATTGGCATAGTGGTCCTGCACCTGGTGTGATGGTTTGGGCAGCTAACAACATGGAATGAGTTGCCCGTTTCTCAATCCCAGTTCATTCCTCCATCATCCAAGCCCAGTTCGACTCCATACCTAACCAGGTAAGGGCCATTTTAGGTGCCAGGAGTGACAGCTGTTTCTACTAATTTCACACCCCTGAAAACCCCCAAACTGCTTACAAATTTAACTATTTTGTCTTCATGCTGTACACTTTAAGTACAATAAATATCTTTTTTGCATTTGCTTTCCTTCATGGTGTTGTAATTTTAATCGCCAGCAGTGTAATTCTCAGTATGATTCAGTGTTTCTTAAAGTGGGCTGTATCACCCCCTTAGTTATTACCAGAGGTTAGCTCATGGTTTTAGATTTCAAACCAGCAGCAATAATGACAGATTTATAATAATATTACCATAAGTTTAAATAATTTATCCAACAACTGAAGACATATTACATACAGAATAGCAGCATATTTGACATTTCTTCCTTCAAATAATATCAAACCCTACATCATATTCAATTGAATTAAATTTTAACCGTTTGCACTTGAGAGGTGCATCTCAATCAGAACTGACTGATACGATAAGTCGAGTAGTAATGATGTTTATTCAGGTTTGCTTTAGCTATTCATTAGCATATTCAAAAATACATGCATATAAAATAACTGCCAATTTTTTATCTTAAATATGTTTATTATATTTATTATTACATATTTTGTATTTATATACGAGTCTTCGACATTAATTCAAACTCAATAGTGGTGACAATAGGAATATTGTTTTGAAAGTTACAGAACTCAGAAAGCATAGAATCAGTTCGGGTGAAGATAAGAATGAAATTATGTCTATGCATAGACTACTTGATGCTAAAGAGAAGGGAAATAGTGCTGAAGATATCGATGACATAAGAGAAAAAATGAAATGAATAATAAGAATGAAAAAAAATCAGGGTAATAGTGAATGTGACAGTGATGGTGATTCCATAGAAGAGACAGAAAACTGAGAATGGATAACATGCACAGAATCCCAAGAAATACCACAAAGAATATTTTATAATAATGATGAAAAAGCAAGTATAGGACTGCAAGTATCTTCAGACATAAAAGAACTATTAAATTTCCATGAAATCATTTTAAGTTAGCTGTAAGAAATTCCCCAAATATGCAGAAAATTATCTCAGTTGATGGTTTGCCTGAGCAAAAAAGAACACACAGGGTTCATAGCCAAATTTAAGTTAAAAAAATAAGCACCTATAAGCACTTTTCAAGCACATTTTAAGAAAAATTAGACTGGTAATTTAAAAATTCAGTATTTATTAAGATTCAGTATTAATTCAGTATTTATTAAGATAGAATGAGCATTACCTCAACCATGGAAAATAATTACATTGTTTTTTTAATTTTAAATAACAGTTCAATTTACAGAACTGGTTTACAATGAGAGGGGGGAAACTATGCAGAACTACACTATATTGCAAGATTTAACGATGAAATTTCAGTTCAAAATACAGAATATTAATAATAAGCCATATTTATTATTATATTCGCTTGGCACCTAAAAATAAATACAATTTATTTTTTCACTCAATTATATTTAAATAATTTTAAATCAAATTCTGACATTTTCTAAATTCATCGCATAACAGTTTTCCTTAACTATATTCCAAGCAAGTAATTTAAGTAAAAAAGAGGAACATTCTGAAATCAGGAGAAGGGAAAGTCATGCAGTCAATCCTAACAGTAAAAGCTTAGCTACCGCATACTTGAAAATTGCGAATATTCAGACAGGGAGTGTAACTGAAAAAAGGAGGAGGGGGGGGATAGACTGTAACCGTTCTTTATTTTCCGCTATAAATGCTTTGACATTTCAATATGTGCATCACATAAAAATAGACCAACAGAAGTGAAAAATATTCTGCTTAGAAAGCACAGTAAAACTCTTTTAGGTGTTCATAAACAAATATCAGACTGAACATCAAAATTAATTATCTTCGCAAAATACCGCAAAAGTTATTGCGCAATATGTTATTGCGATAGTGCAATACGTTATTGCGCAATACGTGCGGCGTAATTCTTCCACATGTGTATTACGCAATCGGAATCAACAGCTACCGGTATTCGGAGAATAAAGAAGTAAATAAAAGAAAAGAAAGAGACTTACCAATCTGGGGAGTTTCTGATTCTAATTTTCAACAGACTGCGTTAAATTTGGAATAGATCATTTTCGCGACCACAAACTTTTAGTCCTATTCAATCCAGATTGGACAGTGATCAAAAATAAATAACTAAAAAAAGTCCGCTGCTCAATATAAGAGATTTGCGGAGAAAGGGGAGAACCCTCCCAACCTCCGAAAGGTAATGTATTGGGAGAAAAAATTATTCTGACTTTCGATTACTTTCCTAAGCCCTTCCGAATATATTCCTTAGAAAGCTAATCTGTGTAAAATATACCATTTTGGAAGTTTATTTACACTTCAGAGCTACTGCAACATTATTATAAATATTCATACATATGCTCATAATCTAGCAAATGATCATAATAAACATGAATATGAACTGAACACGCGAACTAGAATGCCAAATTATTAAGATCTTGATAGAAATTAAACGGTGTAGTAATTTGGTGGGCAGAAAAGAATACCGAATACCGGAAATTCTACGGTTTTCGCAATTCCTTGACCAAAAGAATGACGTGCGCTGTCCTATACTCTGCGCGCACCATAGGTTACGTTAATACAGGAAAGGGGGGAAAATATTTCCGGGAGTATGATTCACCATCTGATGTTCTATAAGGAAGAAAAGTTTATTATTTCGGCTTTGGTAGGGGGAAAGATGGCCTCAATAAAAAAAAGCACTAAAAGCAAAAAATAAGCCTAAAAAAAAAAAAATAAGGGCTTTAAAGAAAAAAGTAACACCTATAAGGCCTTTATATTTATTTTCAAATATATTTAAGCACTTGTAAGGACGGCTATGAACCCTGACACATACACACACACACACACACACAAAAAAAAAAAAAAAAAAAAAAAAAATCTAGTGCAAAGGGTTAATGCAAGTATCAAGCTTTTGACAAAATAAAGAACTCCATATTAAATGCTGCATGTTATGATTATAGTTTTCTTACAAGTCCTAAAAATAAGCTATATTCCATCAGCTTCAAAAATGCTATTGGTTAAATATTAAAATTGGGTACTATTCCGTCCGACAGTAAATCTAGCAACGCACTGATTAGATTGCGTAGTTTATATAGTTCTTATTCTTAAGATGCCATTGAAATACTAGTTTATTTTAAAATCCTTTTTGAATCCTATGGATTTAACAATTGGGAATTGCCATGACAAAAATCGGCAATAGAATTTTGGGTAAAGTGCAGAATCACCCACTGCTTGACGCATTTTTAAGAATTGCACATACTCGGGATCCATGTGCACATCGACCTCTTTTCACTTAAAAAAAAAAAATCCTAGAATTCCCCAAAAATGGCACTGCACACACCCTTGACTTTATCTATGTACACATCGACCTATTTTCACTAAGTAAAAGAAAATTTACAAAAATCCACAATTTTTTTTTTACCCTTGTAAAAAGCGGCAAACAAATAAGTGAGCCATTCTGCACTTTACCGAGAATATTTTCAAAGAAAATGCGTCATTCATTATAGAAAATTACGTTTGAACAACCAACGAGATGAAATATGCTTTAGTGATAAGTCGGTAGCGAAATAGCGAGAATCCATACAGTTTGTTTAGCAATTTTTATATAAATTATTATAATGATTGAAATAGTTATTTACTCTTATGCTTCCATTCAGTCATGTTTAGCCTTTTTTTATATAAATTATAGTAATAAAAAAGTATTATACGAAATCAACATTTCATCTAAATTAAAACATCAATCTTAGATAGTAATTTACTATTACACCTCCTTTCTTGCGTTAGGGTTGTCGCAATTATTTTTGGCAGCACTGGCATTAACAATAGTTTAGCGATTTTTTATGGCCCTCAAAACTGAATAGTACCTAAAATTATTAGTGTTATTAATATTAAAACTAGTTTATTGCAATTGTTATTACTTTTACTACAACTACAATATAACAATATGAATAGGCAAGTTTTACAAATAAATTAAAACATGATGAATAAATCAGTCTTTTTACTACTACATAATAATAATACATGTATAAATGAAATGGTGACAGAATTAGGAGGGAAGGGGAAAAAAAGAAAAAAAAAAAAAAAGATCAAGAAGGCAATAGCCCCAAAATTTTGGAAATATAGATATAGTTAAAAATTTTATAACTATTTATTTAATCTTGCTCATTCTTTAAGCTCACTTTAAATTAGAAGGCAAAAGAGCTTTTAAAATAGAATTTCAGTATTTTAATACTTTTATAAACCTTAATATACTAACCACATTTATATGTAGGCCGAATTTGCATATCTGGAGTCTTGGTTGTTGGATCACTATTGCTTCGAAACTTCTCTGCAGTTTCTTTTGAAATTTTTTTGTTTTCCAAAGGAAAATCATCTTCTTGCAATCCACCTATGGTATTTTCCTATATAAAGGTAAAATATTAAAATAATACATGACTAAGCAGCATGGGAAAAGTGAAAAACATCCTTTTACAAAATGTAAACTTTGTGATATTTTCTGTAAAATATCAAATATTGGCAAAACGTAAATGAGATTCATTTGAATAATATGGAAATAAAGAACCAAAACTGGCATTTTAAACTTCGTAATAACACAAGTTTAGGTTGACACAGATTTAAATATATTAACAAGAGGTATTGGTAACTAAGAAGATATATAACAATTAATTTATTGGTGGATAACTGAATAATTCAGATTGTATATATTTACTGCCACATATTTTACACGAAAGATGGAAAAAACATTAAATTGTTCAGATGCAGTATGTAGTGCGTTTCCATTACATAACCATGAGTACGAAAGTTACAGTTTAAAATCATTCTGATAATTTCATCTACACTCATAGTTTCTATGTTACTCCAATCTAAAATCAATGCATTTACAGTAATACTTTCTGCACCAAGCAGCTTAAAGAAAATTACAGGATATTTTGACTGATATATATCATGCCACCATATATTATTGTCATTGAGAGTACTGAATGAGTACTCATTGAGGTAATAGCAACAAATATATCAAACATTTGTAATGTCTATCTGTAATTAAACAGTTTTTCTTCATCTCTGTCCTTTTTTTTTATTTCCTAACCGGCAAGGAATTTATCCATGAGGAAAACAGTTTTGTTTTATGAACATTTTGGTTGACAAATGTCTTTCAAGAACAAATTCGTAAACCGAGCTTTCCCTGTATATATATTTCTACAGAATTCAATTGTTATTATTACATTTTACTTGTGATATAGAAATTACTGTATAGCTAAAAGAGCAAGGAAAAAAAATTATTAATAAAGGTGTAAGATCCATACCAGTTTCTGTACATGAAATCAGGGATTTTAAGGTCAATCAATGAAAAAAATTAAATTGACTTCAATCTTGCAACACCATTCTAATAATACAAAAGTACCTAAAATGCATTATTATTAAACACATTATTTAACATAACTGTAAAACAAATTTGAGAATAAAACCAGCTACTCTGAAGTTATCGATTAACTAATATTAAATTATGGCTATGATTTCTTGAAACACATTTTATGGTTATAATAGTTACATATTTAAGACTTACACAGTCATGATTTAAAAAAATCTTTTAGTTTTTAAAAGTATTTGTTAAAAAACAATTAAAAACACAAACCAAACAAATCTTTACTATTTTAAGTTTAGGTTAGGTTATTTAATTACGGCAAAGCCTCAAGGACTATCTGCCTAAGGGGAGGGATGCCTTCGTGGAGGACTTTCTAAGGGAAATTGGCTCGCATACACGTTACACATGGAGAAAACCACGATAACACCCATGCAGCCAGCCTGTTCGCGGGATGCGATCCTCGGACTATTTTAAGTAATAGATAATTAATTACACATGTAATTTATTACACTGGTTTTAAAAAGATATTAGAACAATTACATAATACTATACAAAATATCCATAAAATAAAATTTTTGTTTTTAATCTCAACTTTTTTTGAATATTTTAGTTTATATGCATTTCCTTCTGTTTAACTACTTTACTTATTTATTACTATTTCCTTTATTTAATAATTATAATATGTTCATTTGCTGAAATATACAAATCATTACTTCTGCATCACCTGCTAAAGTACCTGTTAATATGTTTATATCTTCAGCAACAACCTTCTGAAAAATTGGTGCATACATAACATATTAATGCAACCCCTTCATTGTAGTTTGGTAGTTTTTTAAATGAAAAGAATGATTTATAATTGCAAAAACTTGTTTATTGCATACATATTTTAAATTTAACAGATATTTACTGCAAAAATCAGTCAATAAGCTTAAAACTTGCTACAGGTGTAATCCAAATGAAATGCAAACAATCACAAGTATAAATTTGGTTTATTAATAGAATTCATAAAAAGTTCAATTTTCGTCGTAACTAACCCTTACTTTGGAATCATCAGGGCATGATACTTATACCTAAATTTATTTTTAAATGTTATTACAGCTTAACAGCATGTGCTCTTGTATTTTTACTTTTACAACGAAGCTTTCTCTTAAAATTTGTCTTGCATTGCATTGCATAGCAAAAAAAAAAAAAAAAAAAAAAAGAGTTTAATCATAATTCTACTAAAAATATCTAACTAAATACAAAATTCGTAAAAATATTTAAAAACATGGTAGATAGATTTACCACTTATCCTTAAACATAATAGCTGAAGGAAAATAGGTTTACTTAATTATAGTTCAATATTTAGTACCATAGACATTTAACTAGCAGAACAACTTAAACATAAAAAAACTCTTTATTTTGTGGCAAGAAAAAACAGGCAAGTTATATTTACTCCAAACAAAATGTTTTAAGAATGCTTGTTTATATATACGCTACCCAACATTGAAAATGAAACACCAAGAAGGAACGGTCAGGACTACTTTGGACGGCAATAAACAAAGCAACAGGTCTAGGTACAAAGAGACTATGGATGGTGTCCAGAGACATAGATGTATCAACCATTTGCTGCAGTTCGTCTTCTTAATGTAGCAATGGCAAGGTCTGCAAATGCCATCCAAACACATCCCAAATGTGTTGGATTGGTGAGAGCCAGGTAAGTGGCCAGGAAAGAACAGTGGCCAGGTAAGCATTTGTATACCTTGCATAGCATGTTGGCTGATGCGAGCAGTGTGTGCTTGGGCGTTATCCTGCTGATAAAGGGCATTAGGCACTCTTTGAAGGGTAGGTGGAGTGTCACTGGCCACAGCACATAATCCACATATCATTGGCCAGTCATTGTGCCCTGAATACAAACTAGAAGTGACCTGGAATCATATGCAATTAAGCTCTAAAGTTTGATGCTGCATTGTCACGCGGTGTAGTGCTCAATAATTGTAACCTGATTGGACCTGTCTCCACATTGAAACCACACTCGTACGCAGCGATGGATGCGTCGATCCCCGCGTGCTGACGTCACTCTGGCTGCACCAGCACCCCTTGAACTTGCCACATTTCCTTGTTACAAGCATTGTCGCTACAGCCAGTGCACGGTGGATGCATCCAACTGTATGTCAGCTAAGATTTTCTATACAGACCAACCTGCCCTTCTCAGTCCGATCACCATGCTCCATGTAAAATCGTCTGTCTGCTGGAACTACCTCTGTTGACAACGGCCTGGCGTTCTCTGCTATTACACATGTCCTCAGAGATTGAACAAATTTTATATGATGATTTTCCTAGCAAAAATAATGGCCCAAAAATTTAACATTCTGCAGGTTCCTTCCCTTATATCTTCTTCAAAGTGCACTGGAGAGCTACAAATTTAACACCTTTCGCATAACTCGATGACGTGCGTCTACCCTGAAGTTTGCGTAATTTTTGGACCACTCCTTCTTGGTGTTGCATTTTCTTCAATGTCGGGTAGTTTATCTCACGAATTATCACGGCATCAAAGCAGTATTTATTGATCACAAAAGCTTTTATAAGAATAACTTTACAAAACTCAATATTGCATTTCAGAAAAAGTTGTTTGGTAAAATCTACATAAAAAAAAAAAAAAAAAGAAGAAGCTTTAACAATACCGTAGATTTTTTTCTTTTGGAAGATCCTCGATTTTCAGCACTTCTTCTTTTACCTTTAGATCTGCGTTTTCTACGATTAGTGTTGTCTAAATCATCATCTGTTCCATCATAATCAGAAAGTGACAAAAGAGATCCAACAGATTCTTCAATAGTTTCTAAGCTGTATATAAAAGTGTTACACATTATTTTGCTCAACTTTTATTTTCAGTTACACTTAACAACAATATAGCAAACTAAAACAAAGATTATACAATTGAAATAACATTATTGGTGCATGAAATGCTTCAATTACACATAAATTTATCTTTTAGCCTTGTTTTAGTATATACTATGAAACATAACAATAAATGAGCTAGGAACTAGGAGATAATTCTTTAATATTTTCTAAATGCTAATAAATTCTCCTTTTCCAATATATCTGCACATAGTAATTTTCTACCAAATAGGTATACAGTATATCCTGCAAACTTGACATTTCATATATAGCTAGGTGATTACTATACTTTTAACTGCTAAATGATTTCTACTGGTCAAGCAGAATATTAATGTATACACACATGCATACATCCATACATATGAACACATACATCTATACATACATACATTTCTGAACCTGGTCCCGATAAACAGAACAGTACTGAATATTATCTTTGCAATAGTTTAGCAATTTATTAACAGCTATAATAATTTCTAGCATTTCTTATACGATGCAAACAGTATTAGTTATATTTTAATTGCTGTATGTATATTTAATTTTAAATACATGCACAAAGTGCATATTTATGCAAAATTTGTCTACTTAGTTGTTGTATATGCCCCATACTTTCCTGTTCTGTTCAAAGATTTGTTATGGTATTCTAATTCTTCTTCAATTTTTGTCTTTTTTCATTTGTGACACTAATTCTTGGAACCCATATAATGAATATAGTGTCAGGATTTTGTTCTCTTTGTGGAAATTGCAATCTCCCCCATTCTTCCTCTCAATAACAAAGCTGAAGGAAGTAGCCATTGTTGATTACCACTCATATTCCTTTCTATTGTTAGCCCATTCGCAAGCTTGACTGAAGGTTTACAGCTATACCCAAATGTAAACTAAACTTGCAATTCATAGTGGGTAGAGTTTCTCTGGTTTATCTCCAGACTTACAAGCGTAAATTTATCAGTTTGAAATTTGTTATTTAGCTTTTTTAATTACTTAGCACATGTTAGGCTTAACAATGGTCATATGCTATTGAGCAGGTCGAATTAATATTTTTTTTCATTTCAAAAACTTTATTGCTCTAACGTTACAGTTTTCAAGAACTAACTCTTCCTTTTATTTTTATTTCAGGTTTTTTGGATCAAATTTTTATCCGATATTTTTCATATGTTTGATTGCTTCTATTTACATGTTTTGTTCCTTGGAAAATTCTGTTTAAATAGAAAATAATTTTTATTAGGTTTTTAAGCTTTTTTTGCTTATTTATGATTTTGATGCTATAATTTTGGAAAATTTTTTTTACTCCAGCCTGTATAGTTTCAAATTTTCATATGTTATATTTTTTTATCTGCTGGATTGTTTATACTTACATGATATTCTTTTTCACTTGGTCTACTAAAACATAAATAAATTTTTTAAAAAAATTTAAGCTTATTTATGATTTGGCAGTTTTTTGCAATACTTACTAGAGTCTGTAGGGGTTGGATTAATAGACATAGACTACTTTGATTAACTTTCCGAGATTATTTTAAATATCAAACTTTAATTTGTGTCTTTGTTGGTTCAGAAAGAGGCTGATGTATTTACTTCTTTCGTTGCACCAACTCCCAACAAAATCATGCAACAAAAGATGGAAATTTCTTTTTTCCTCTTCAGTTTTTGTTTTTGTTTTTTGCATATTGTTTGTTCCGAATTGAATATGGGATGGATTTTAAATGTATTTTAATATATTTTGCATTATATATACATATACACACACATATATAATTTTGGTATTTAAACAGAAAATAATTTTGGTACTTGCGTATTAATGCAAGCACCTTGGCGAAACATTTGGTGACTTTTTTATAGCTGTAAAAATATTATTATTTACATAGTGCAAGTTGGTGGTTTAGGAACAATTTTCTTTTAGAAAGATTCTCAAACTATTGATATTTATCATAAGATTGTAAATATTATAAACATATGAAAATAAAATGCACTTTCACAATATAAAATACAAATTTGAGTTATTAAATAAGGATTACATGACACATTAAAAAAGTAAAACATATTCTTCAAATCTTTCGATAATTCTTTTTTTGCACTATTCATCTCCTGAAGTACATAGTGATCTGTTTTCACTTTAAAAAACACCATAGAATTTTAAAGATTCAACATCATGCAACCCTCAATAGTGGCTATCTAAGAAACGTATTTCTTCATTGTTCCCTTTAGAAATTTTTCAGCAAAATTCTGAATTCCTGCAGAAATTTCATCGCAGTTTCTTCCACTGTTGCCAAATTCCACAAGCTTATATTTTAGTACTAAGTTTAAGGCAAAAATTAGCACAATTTGTTTATAAAAACCATTGGAACATAGAATACCACTAAAACAACAACAACAAAAAAAAAAAAAAAAAAAAAAGCAGTGTTGCTTGACTGAAGGATTATTTATCAGCATGATTGCTGGAGGAATGGTCATGCCAGAATTTGGCTACTTCTACGAAGGTGGTTGCGTTAATACGCAAGTACCAATATTTCAAGATTAAACGATGAAAAGGGACAACTCTTTCAAATAAAAACAAAAGCAGTTCAATGAAATCAATAAAACACAATAAATTGATACAAAAGAGAGAACACATTAAATATACAACTGTTGGAAATTGCTTGATCTTTTTCAAATATATATTATCTTAATTCGAAAATTTTCAACTTTTGTTTATATACACACATATAGTATGTAAAATATCTCACTTTCAAATAATAAATTAATAATAGCCTTTTAACTCCAGGCTTCATTCTAAAAACAACAAAGCAATAATTTTTCTAACAAAACTCCTGGATGAAATCTTAACCCAACACATCTGAAACATTAATCTGTCATGTAATCTGGTATAAAAGGTAATTTGCTGCAGAACCCCCTTCCTTCTCTCTTCTGCTTTTTTTCCGCTGCTTCGCCTTGCCGCTAGCCATGCAGAGATTATTTCTCTATTTTTCGTCCATTGTTTAAGAGATGTAAGCTGTATAAAACTGTGGGGTGCATAGGGCACCCACAGTAATGATGTTCATTATCAAGGAATAAAATTATGCATAGAATTTACAGCTATGTCTCTCTTCGAGTGTCGCCTTTCTAACTAGGCAGTTAACCTTTTAACTGTCATGCCCGAGATAATCTCGGGTACAGCACTGGTGTTCGAAAATGTCACACCCGAGTATTACCCGAGGTAATTTTTTTTTGAGTGCATCGATTGTTATACCCGATTATATATCGGGAGACTTTATTTCGGCTTTCTCTTTGTCAAACCCGACTGTAATCCGGGAAAAGTTAATGTGCGCTCAATTCAATAGATGACACACTTTACTGAAGATTTCAAGGTTAGAGGTTATAAATTCTTGGTGCAAAGGCACGGGATCCTTTTGTTGTAAAATGACGTCCAATTCTTTGAAACTTATATAGATGATTTAGATTCTTCAACTGAAGATGAAGGATGTGGTTTGATGAGCAGTATTCATGATATTCCATGGTCAGCCTCAAAAATAAAAAATCGAGATATAACCAAGCCAAAGATTTTCTAATTACAGTCTACTATGGGTGGTTGTAGATCGCTGTGATCAGGAAATATCCTTTATCCAACAATCCGAAACATCAGAAAAGATATTAGAAAAGAACTTTTACATTTATTAGACAAGGTGTCTGGAACTCATATTTGCTCTATAAAAAGTAGTAGGAAACGTATTACATTTAGAATTTCGAATTCAAGTTGTAGAAGAGCTTTTAATAAATATGATGACGAAGCTTCTGGACAAAAGAATTAGCAGAACACCTACATAGATAACCTGCCCGTCTTACTGAACACATTTTAATCCCTATTCCTCCTACTCCTGCGAAACGTGCACCTACAGACAGTGCAAAGCGGTTGTTCGAAAAAGGTTAAAAATGGGAAAAGATAAGGAGGAAACACGATTCTGGTGTAGTGATTGTGGAGTTGGTTGTGCTTGGAAAGTGTTTCCAGTTGTACCACACAAGACTGAATTACTGAAATACTAATATGTATTCACTTTTATTTACTTATTTTTTTCATTTATTTATTTTTAGAAAATAATAATTTTTTTTTATTAGAAAATTTTTAGAAAGAAATTTCATGCCATTTGAGTAGCTGCCTCAAAATATGCATGCAACTTTAAAAATTTACCCATGTACTTCAAAATATCAGTTTTTAACTATTTAAGTATATTTTATTTTGTACTAACATTTGATTTTTGCAATAAAAAAATTTGACAATTTGTGTACCCAAATCATCAAAATAACTTGACAGTTAAAGGGTTAAGCCTCTCCAATCTATTACAATACAAAGAATCATCACCAAGTCTTCTTACTATATATATATATAGTCATTTTCTACTTATGCTGTCTACTCTCCTTCATATGAGCACAATAAAATAAAGTTGTCTTCTGTAGCAGCCTTGGTGAGAATGTTGCTTTGGAGCATTTCTCTATTGGCAGGAAACAAACATTTGTCATTTCACAGTTTGTGAATATGCATTTCTTCTAGCATCGCCTTTAGAGAATAACGATTTTTCATTCATGTTCATAGCTCATGTTTCTTCAACCAGTGAAAAATCTTCACTTTTAAAACATATCGGTTTTTCAGCAGTTATCAATTTGTGCACATGCATTTCTTCCATCTTCGGTTTTAAAATATAACAATTTTCATACATGCTTATAGTTCATCTTCTTTCGATTAGTGAAAATGTTCTCTTTTAAATTATAATGATTTTTCACTGCAATTTTTTTTCATGCATACTATTTTCAATTTATTGTTAAATTAAATGGGAGCTAGAGTGTTTTTAAAAGGCATTTTATCAAAAGAAAGAATAACAATTCTTTCCAAGGTGCATAATATGCAATTACATGTTGGAAATGAAACCATTTAGCACTGCGATATCAGAAGCATATCGTAAAGAAAGTAGAAAGCTTGTAAGCATCAGTGAAATGGCAAAATGAAAAACACAGAGGTACAGCTAATTACCACCTGGAGTACTTACTATCTAGCAGAGTTCATGTTCAGATTCCAAGTCAGCAGTGATAATGCATCAGAGGCATTATTATCAGCAACTGCTGACCTGTGGCTACGAGAAAGAGTTTATAAAAAATGAATTTTCCAGCATGTATATTATAATAAATTGCCAACAAAATTGCATACTACAATAAATTTTTAAAATTTAAATTACGATTTTATTCAAAAATGAAAAGCATAATGAGTATTTTACAATGAAAAACCACTATATTGACACAGTTCAATTATGGAAACTCACTTAAATTGTTCCCCCCCCTCGTACATGCAGAAATTGGCAATCGCTTGTTTCTCGCCAATGCAGAAGAAATGTGCCCAATACACATTCTCTCCAAAGCTGCTGCAGCAGAAGAAAAATATCAAATTTTCATCTATTTTGCCACTTAATTTATCTGCTTATCAGCCTACTTCAGAACTTTTTTTTAACTTGTGCTTAAGGTACCATAGTAAATTTTAAGTAAGCAATTATTTGATGCCCCAAAATGAATTATTTCATTTTACATTAATTTCTGTGGATTAAACAGTTTTGGTTTACGGAATTTTCCAAGCGAAGAACAACTTTCAAGAATAAATTCAATTCATGAAGCAAGGTTTCATTGTATTTTGCTTTATGTTATTTAGTAACATAATATATAATACCTATATTGGATTTTTATTACCTCATTTAAAATTTACCATATACTTGCACAATTTATCAGTTTAATGTTACATAAACATGTTATTTTATGTAATACTCTTGCTATTATCAGCAGTTATGCATGGAATGTATTACACATGTATGTAGCAGCTTTAATGTAAATATGCTGCCAAGGCTAGTTATAAATAAAGCACCCAAATTTGGAAAAATATGTGCATATAAAATTTTACTTGAATGATACAGAGGGAATTAATTTTGCGATGTAGTAATGAACTCTACGAAGGACCATTCATTAGTAGCACATACATATAGGAGAATCACCAAAAAGTTTCTTTTTCTTTAAGAGCATATTATAAATCATTCAAATAAAAAAAGTGCACCAGAAATATACTTTACTCTAATTAAGGGACATAATAAAAATATGTGAAACCGATTTAATCCAAAAGTCATTGATGGATAGTATTATGTGCAGAGCAGCAATTTCAAATAACAGCATAATACTGAAACATTATTATGACTTCAATTTTAAAAATGAAAAGAATAAAAAAATTTGGGAAAAAAAAAAAAAAAAAAAAAAAAAAGATTTTCAGACAATTTTTTACTGTGATTCAAAATTCAATTTCCCAAATATCCAATGAAATAGAATGAAATGAATGAAAATAATGAAACTAAATAGTTTTTCTAAGCAAACATTATTAAATACATAAGTTTTATTTAAAAGTAGATAAAATGGTAAATCAGACACCATGTAGTAGGCATACATGCAGAAGAAATCCTTGAATTTAATTACATATAATATTATTAGTACATTTCTCGACAAATATGGAGTATAATATCTTCAGAAATGATTAAGTCAAGAAACCAGAAGTACTGCCAGGAATAGACAATTAGACAGAGTTATTCACATTAGCAGAATATAAGGTAGAGTTGGACTATCCACTCTGGAACTGATACACTTTACCAACTGAATTTACTCCAAATTCTAGAAAACGGAATTATAAATCTTTTACAGTTCATGAAAAGCTTTTGCTGGAAGCATGCCAGGAACACAGATCTACTATTCATTCACAAGCTGATTCACTTTACTGAGCGAGCTTATGCCTGATTTGCGAAAAAAGAATGGAGCTCTTGTTAGAAACATGCCAGAACAGTTCATTTTCCATGTTAGGGACAAAAAGAATTTATCCTCTTAAGCAAGTTTAATTTTTATCATTTTCCAACATTCTGAAAAATTATTAGGCTATAATCTTAATGTTAGTTCTGCGTAGAAAAGAGGCTGCAAGGAATCTCAAACTACAGTTGAAAGAAATCAGTTCAAAGAGTTAGTGCTTGATTGAGTCGATTCTTCTGATCCGATGGCTTCAGTTCTCTTCGCTCTTCAGCCTAACCTGTCCCGATCGAACTGGTCATTAGATTTTTTCCATTCTATGCTCCATCTTCCTTAATTTCTCTTATCATTACAGATCATTTTAGAAAAAAGAACTGATTCATTTCAGTGAGTGAACTGTTCTGATCCGATCCATAAAAGAGTGGTTTTGCCCATCTCCAATATGTAGATAGACACCGTATTTGATAATACCGAAAAACCTACAAAGGATTTTCAGGTTTTACCTACAAAAGGATAGTCAATAAGAAATGCTTGCAACTGGGAGATTTAGAAAAATATCTGACATTCTTTCTTATTTTCTGATAAAAAGAGATGCTGGTGATTCCTGGTCTTAGAAAATTATATGTGCATTAGCCTCTTTTAAAATTAATATCAAATAAAAAATTAAAATTTTGCCCAATGACTGAAATCCAAGCTAGTACTTGTCTCTTGCTTTTATTATTAAATAAAAAATTCAGTCCATACATTTTGGACTGATCCTACAGGGAGGAAATATTCTATCGTATTTAAATTAATTTGTTTCCATATTTTTTTTCCTCTAAAAGATTGAAACCCACATAACTTACCCAGGATTCTGTAGTTTACAAGTAGCACTAAGCAACATCTCTTTTGTTTGATTATCCATTGTATTCCCATCAGCCAAAAGTACCTTCTTGATAAGATCTATTTGTCTTTCCTATAAAAAAAAAAGATAAATAAATAAAATTTTAAAAAAGATTTAACAAAAAGATTTCATAGTATCTACAATTTAAAAGAAATAACCATATTTACTAACCATGGAGCTCTTTTCCATTTCAATCTTCTTCCTTTTATTAATTTCAGTCTCACATAAACTCCTAAATATGTACATATTTTTAATGTGAAAAATATGAATAGGAAATGTGAATAAAAATTTTTGATGTGTTAGCAATACTAATTAAATTAAATAGGATAATATAAAAGAAATTAAGGGAGGAAATTTAGTATAAAACTGTATCTTTCTCCTTTCACACCACGTTTCACAAGAATCGACTATATGAGTTAAAAATCAACTAACAGACATACGGTGAAAGTAACAGATTGGTATGATTTAAATCTATTATATGTAATATCCCATATAGAAAAAATAATTGACTCTGTTTTGTAACATCCCTTAAAAATTCACTTGTCTGATCTTCGTACTGTTTATAAACTGGTAATTTTTTGTTAGCTAGGAGCTGGCAAATAAATGTACACTGCATGGGGGGGGGATGTATCTCCCATTCTACTGACCGATTCACGAAATTCAAATTGCGTTTTTCATATCTCAAAAGCACAACTTAGAATATAAGCTTCTTCTAATATAGGTATTTTTACACAAAATCAGACTTCTTTTTCTGAAATGACACGCCAATTTTTTTTCCATATTTCTCTTACAACATGAAGAAGCCTTCGGGCAACTGTAAATTGGGAAACTTAGGTTCCAGTGGCAGCTCACATGGGAGCTCTGAAACTGTGGCCAGTTGCCATGCTGAAAATGCCAAGTAATGATCCTCATTTGTAATTGTGGATCTTGGCCAATCTATCCAGGTCTTTTCAATATGGATCCAGTATACTGAAACTGTTTCAACAAACTTCAGATGATACTGGGCTTTAGACAGATCTGCAGCCACCAGAGCATGTGATTGGCTGTATTCGAAATACCAACAATTCTCCATCTCATTCCATGAACCATGCATTCGTGGCTACCGATTTTATATCATGCATTATAAAATTTACCCAACTCTTGTGAAGAACAAGGCAAATGTTGTGAAGGAATACCAGCACAAAAATTGCCGAAAACCCCTTGTGTGCTTATATTCCCTCCACAGACATCAAGTGTAAACTTTTGTATTTGACTCTGAACACTTTTGTAAATCTTCGGTGATATAATTAGTATTTTTAGTTCAATGCTTTTTGTAAAAACAGACATAATTTGCAAATTCTCTTAAATTCCACACATGATTGTGTATTGTGAATACACACACATATATCTATCTTATTATATTATAATTAGATTAACTTAAAAGTAATTTTCTGCCTCTAAGTCTGTCCTTTTTTAAAGCAGTGAAAATAAACAGGGGAAGAAAAAAAATGTATACTTGCGAACCTACAACACTCATAACTTGCAAGATTTTTCTCAATGATAAAAATATTTTTTTAATAATGAATTAACTTTAAAAAGTAACTAATTAATATCTGAAAGTTCAGTTACTAATTCTTAAATCCAAACCGTACAAAAATACTTACATGTAAAAAAAAAATTTTTTGCTTTATAATTTTGTTCATAGCAATTGCCATGTAGGCCTGCTTTTGTTAATAAAAGCTTTTTTAATGTGTCATTACTAATATCAGATCTAAATTTAGGTCCTTGTTTCTCACAGCTACACTGAAAATCCTCTCACATTCTGCATTACTATGGGGAATTGTCAGAATGTCCAACATTATTCTAGACAGTTCACTACTCTTTAAAATTTCATCAGCACCTTTCAGTTTCCCAATTAAACTCCACCGGGTGTCAATTCTAGCTGGCTTTATAACACCATTCAAGTTTTCTAACTGTAAACTGCGAAATTATCAGCTGCAACATCAATATCATCACCTTTTGTAATTAAATAAAGTAAAACTGGAAATCTATTAGAAAATATATCAGAAAAAGATGTATTTACTAGATCAGAAACATCTGCAACTTTAACATGTAAAATCACTTCATCGCTGATGGGAAATTTATGTAGTATGTAATCGCATACTCGGCAGAAGTAGCTTCTAAAGTGGAAATTAAAACTTATTTTTGTCTTCTTCTGAGTTCTTCCTCTACTTTTTCAGTTGCAGCCCCCCTATTACCAAATCATCTTTCTTCAGATTTTCTGTTTCATAATAAATTACATCATATATAGAATTAGAAGACAAGACAAAGATTGGTATTACAAAATTTTGATAAAATGTTTTTAAGCACATCATAAATCATTGATCGCAAAACATGAATTAATGGAATTCTGTTTTGTAGAATTATGTTAAGAACATCAAATGATGGCAAAATAAATTTCATAAAAAAGAAAAAAGCTTTGTTAAGGTCCGAAGACAAAATCATTAATATTCGTTCTTCGCAAGATGAACTCACAGTAATTGGAAAAAGTTTCCCTTATTGATCAGTTTTTTATTGACTGAAATTTGTATCAGCTTTACACTTATATTTTGTTGTATTATTTTGAGAACTGCCAATTAAATTGCTCACTAGTGCAGAAATTACTTTATTTTCCTCAAACCTATTTTTAACAATGGAAGTAATAACTACATCTCCATTTACTTTATTTTATAACTTTCAATAGAGTATTTTATCTTAACTCTAGAAGCATTTACTTTTTTTAAAAAATGCAAGAAGTGGGTTCTATAGGTCGAGGATTCTAGATAAACATTCTTTTAAAGATAGCCAGTGTGTAAATATATGTTTCAAAATTTTTATTTCAGTATTATGCAGCTGATGAAATTGTTTCACTTTTTCCTTCTTTCAAGATAATAATAAATATCAACAATGTGTTCCTCCACATTTATTGGTAAAGAATTTGCCCCTTTAGCTGCTAAATTTAAGAGGTGACAGGTGCACCTCATAATTTGCAAATCTGAATATTCCTTTTTTTTAACCTGCAAAACCAGTCTCCAACAAACCATTACTGGTGCATTATCGGCATCAAGTGCTAAGCGATTATCCAGAGGAACTGCCTTTTAAAGTTTTAGTAATTAGCCGTGCTACTTTAAAACCTGTCGAATAGCCTTCTGCTGTGCAAACTAAGAATAAAAATAAATAAATAAAACATTACAGTTTTGCATCAGTATTACTGCTTCCATCCATTGACAGGCAGAATAGAACTGTTATAATGGAATTAATAACTGAAGATTTATCTTTCACACCCATTTCTTTAACAATTTCAACTGTTTTGGTTTTTGTACTTGAGTATTTATTAGCAATTTTGCCATCAGGAACATTTTTCTAAAGACAGCTGCAACATGATCCAATGTTTTCTGTGGCAGGTTGCATTCCAGTAAAAAGTGCAGAGAACAGCCATCCTGTATTAATAACTTTTTGGTCCTTTGTTTAAATAAAAGAATTAAATTTTTTGTTTTTTTTTTTTCAATCGAATCATGTTATCCTTGTGTTTTTGAGTACATACATGTTTGAGAACATCGACCCTTCCACAGTGTGAAATAGAAAAATCGTAATGACAAATGGTACATATTGCAAATGTATTAAATTTCCTTGACAAAATAATAGAAGAAAAGTCATATGTGTACAGTTTTTGAAAAGTACATGAGTATTTTACTTTTTTCGCAATATAACTAAAACAAAAGACAATAATTTCTTAAACTATTTCTTGAAAGCATGTGCACTCACATTCTTCAGTGACAAGATGAACGAAATAACAGCCTTGATCCTGCTTTGTACTCATTGGCTAATATACGCCAGACGACATACAGTGGTGCTCAGTGCTCATTGGAGAACTGGAACACAATGTTTTCGGACACATGTGCTCTCACTCACAAAGCAGAAGTGCACTTTAATTTCTCTGATGAAACGTTTGGTTTTATGTGGTTCATCTCACTGATGAAACGACTTTTACTTATATAACCTAGTTTCATTTTTATATGTAACCTAGAGAAAAACCAAGTGCTTTAAAAAACCCCAAAATCACTTTTGTGTATGTGTAAATAACAAAGTATTAAGTCAAGTAACATAAAATTGTGAAAAAATGTTAAGAATAAGAAAAATTTGGGAGAAATATGTTGTAAATTGGGTTGGCGGGAGACGGTCAGAAATTGGAAATCTTCTGCCTAAATAGAGAGAGTTGGCAACACTGAGAATAGAGGGAGGGGAATCCTTGCTACATGATTCATGTCCATTCACCCTATTTCATGAATATATTGGTCCAAATGGTAGTTACAGATTCGTGCTCACGTTTGCAGCTATCGCTATTAACTATACGATAGAGTTGTCAACTTTTGTCACTGCTTTCCCTCGTTCATACCTTCTTTGAAACTCTGAATTACATCAGAAAATACTTTTAGTTTGCACAGCAAGAATCGTCAATTCTCTGAGTTTCATCATTAAGGACTTATCAGTCATGCTCGATGGCACGCAAGAAAACTGAACATTTAATCCAAGTACCCCAACTGTTGCAATGCAAAATTCTAATAGAAAGAACCTGATGACTTCTTAGTGCAAACAATTATAACTGGGATCCTTTATAAAAATTTGTCCATCGTAAATCATTTACCCTAATAAGATCCTCCCTGACACTTTTCAGATACTTACAATAGCTGATATATAGCATATGTCATACATTTAAGGCTGACAACTAATAATAATGATATTCATAAAAAAATTATTTCTACGTATATCAGAAGACATAACATGCAGTTTGTCCTATCAAACTATGATAATACTACAGTTGACTTAATGTGTGATTTTTTTTTATAACAAAAGCATTGGACTTAAATGTATTTCTTTGACACAAAAGAAATACATTTAAGTCCAATGCTTTTGAATTAAATGTATTTCTTTACATGATCAAACAGTAGCAGCAGCCATCACCAAGACAGAGATGAGAAAGCTCCGAGATTGCTTTTAACTACTACAAGAATACAGTGACAGCTAAACAACAGGTCTAGAATTGGCTTGGACCAGACAGAGCAAGATAGATTCAGCAAGAAAACGAAATTTTATTCCCTTTTCTTTATTAACCCAAGAACTTTCTGTACATGAGGCTATAACAATGGCAATATGAGAGTAAAAGAAGCAGAAAGATGCTGAACAATCAAAAAGAGAGGAAATGTCCCCACAAAAGTGTAATAAAGTATGTTTGATAATTTTTACTTACAGTATCTCAAACTAAATCTGTAAAACAATTCTAGTTTTTTAAAGCACCTTAAATTCCTTTCTCTAATGAGTAGATATCAGTGCTCTGCCTGTAATTTTATTTCAAAGTTTGATAACAAAAATGACGCTGCATATTAAAATTATTTACAGAGTTAATAACACAGAAAAATTAACCTTTAAACAATTCTCATATTATAAAACTGTATTTTAAGAATGTATTCATTCATCAATATGATAATACTTTGTTTTATACCCTTGTTTTAATTAAAGCAAAATTACTTTAAATTATGATATATTTTCTTTTTGAATAGCAGATTACAATAGCAAACAATATGTATTTTCCCACAAATATCCTACTTTATATGCATATTCTGGGTTTCTAGCCTCTTCTTATCAGATTCTAGTTCGAAAATGGTGTCACGGAGAGTCTGGATTTCTTTCTCAGCTTCCTTCCATTTACGCATGCAGGCATGTTGACTTTCAACAAAAATCTTGAACTCTAAATATTTCAAACACAAGAATTAAAAAAAAAAAAAAAAAAAAAAAAAAAAAATTGAAATTAATGTTCTCTGTTATACTGAAATATTTACACTTAAAAGTTTATTAAAAGCAAAATTGTAATTTCAGTATTTCTCTGTGTAATTAATAGTAAAAGGCGGTGAAACAGTTTTGAAGCAAAAATATTTGTTTCTTTCAATAAAAAAATATACATATAAAATTATAAAATAAAAGCTGCTATATTAACAAGATAATTTTATAAAACAGTGATTTTTCTGAAATAATAAGATTGTTTTAATTACAGAGAAAGTCTCTTATGAGTAAGTAACATTTAAGTTATCTCTTGTTTGAAGTTGAGTGCCTTCATCGAACATTAAAAACAGCATTAAAAGCCCACAACAACATATCTTGGACGGACACATTACCAACAGTACTTTTGGGTTTGCGTACTGCTATTCAAGAAGATACAAATCATTCTATTGCACAAGTAGTTTATGGCCAGAGTCTCAGACTTCCTGGAGAGTTTTTCAGCGAACCAAGTATCTAGACATCATCGGAGACTTTTGCTAATAAGCTCCAGAAACAGATGGAAGTTGTTGGACCTAGATTAATTTGTAAAAATTTATCTGAACGGATATTTGTACATAAAGACATAAAATCTTGTTCTCATGTGTTTCAGCGAATAGATCAGGTAAAAAAACCTCTGGAACCTCCTTATGAAGGACCATTTCTTGTTATTGATTGCATGGACAAATATTTTACCATTAGCATAAAAGGAAAACATGTTAATGTATCCCTGGACCGCTTGAAACCAGCATATATTTTAGCTGAGGAAAATTCTCAGTTGATACAACCTGACTACACTAATTTGCAGAGACCGGACTCAAATTCGGATGTGAATCAAAAACATTCTCGCACAGGCAGAACTATACGTTTACCTGTTAGATTCCAGGACTGACTCTAAATTATTCTGATAGTGGTTAACACTGCAATACTAGTTACTACCTATTTCTCCATCTTCGTAACGTAACTTAGTTACTGGTGGGGGAGTAGTGTAGTGGCCCAGTTATTGCATGAGAAATAATTATTTTTTATTTCATATATTTGTTCATGTGTTTAATTATTTTATAAAATTAACTTTAATATTTTGTTAATATTCATATTTATATTTCTTTTATGCTGAATGGCAACAAGTAGTTCATATTTATATTTAAATTTCTTTATGCTGAATGGCAACTAGTTCTGATTCATGATTGCTAGGTTTGGGTTTCAAAACGTTGCTCGTAGCGCCGCATTTCGATAGCTGGAAAATAAAATGCAATAAACCTAGCTATTTGTTTATAATTCATGCTGTTCCTAATCATAAATTAATTTTAAACATTAGTAGCCAAGGCTACAATAAAAACCTATTTTATTTATTATACTAATGGTATAAAAATATTTGTTCTGAATATTTTTAAGAAATACATATAAAATTCCATTTTAAATCATTGACTTTATTATGCTGATGAACAACACACTTTTATAATATGAAAAATTATACATCTTATTGATTAACAAGATCATCTTTAGCTTTAGATCTATATTTATTCAGACAGAAATTTATCTGTTAAATGAAAATAATTTAAAATTAGGCAAGAAAGCTACCTGATTTCAGTGGAGGTTTTGAATAAAAGTCTATTAATTAAGAGGCAATCATACATAAGTCTTTCTTCTTCAAGGGAGGAAAAAAAAAAAAAAAAAAAAATGTTTGATGAAGGGGTGCACAAATCATTGGCAGTTTTGTGAATTAAGACTAAAATTTTTGCTTGACTTTTGAGGCTCATAGGTAGTGTATTCATAAATGATTATAAAAAGAAATGGTACTTTTCCATTTTGCCGGCGGAGGCGATAAAGTCGCCATAAATGATACAACCGAGCCAAACAGTATATCCCGGCTGGTAACCTTTTACTGCCACATTTTCAAAATAAGTCGCGGCCATTTTTTTATCAGTCACATTAATTACGACAAATACGTCTGCCTAATACATAAAAAATGGATGAAAAACCAATGAAAATTTGAGATTTACCCAGAGCAGAGGGAAAATCTGTCAAATTCTTTCAAGCGAAAAGCGTTTTGCCTAAAATTGCTTCTTGTGACAATAACCATGAAATGAAATAGTATTTCGGAGACTAAATTCAGTGGCGCTGCAACCTTTCAGTTTGTCATCAGTAAAAGTAGTATTCGGAAAGGCACATGGTTTAAGTAATCGAAAGTGAATTTCTTGAAGTGGGTGAAGTTTATTTATGGTTGCAGCAAAGAATTAACTTCAGTTAAATGGTGTGCAAATCAGTTGGTTAAAAATCGGTCACGGAACAATTGTGAACTGGAATAACTACATGCATGAGGTTTGTGTAAATTCTCTGCTGAAACATAAACAGTGGGAACTAGGAGGACCTGGTACGATCGTGGAAGTGGATCAAAGTATGTTCACGAAATGCAAAAACAATGCAGGACGGATCCTACCACAGTAGTGGATATTTGGTGGAGCTTGCTGTGAAACAACAAATGTTTCCTTGTAAAGCTGCCTAACCAATCCATGAGCATTATATTAACAATTAAGGAAAATATCAAAAAAGGAACTATAATATATTTAAATTCGTGGAAATCGTACTGCACTAAAAAACTGGAAGAAGAAAGTTTCGAACATCTCAAAGTGAACTATAAATACAACTTTGTCAATCCAGAAACTGGAACACACACATAAAAAAATAGAAAGACCATGAAGTATACCAAATTGTGAAATAAGAAACACAGAGGAACAGCATGTCTTCATCTAAAAAGTTATCTCGCGGAATTTATTTGGAGAAGGGAAACGAAAGGCCACTTTGAAAAAATGTAAAAAATTCTTAGAACAAATATTTGTTAACATTTTTTATGTGTATACTGGTCGCCAATAAAGTCTGCTTGGCAAGATTTGCGATGGCAAAATATAAAAATACCAAAGAATATTTTATTAGACATGAGAAATTTTATAACAAAATATATAATGGCCAAAGACACAGATCAGGGAAATCATAGTTAAATGTTAAGCATGGAAAATTTCTATGCATGTCAAAAACATGTGCGATACATACATGCAAGGCTTAACTACTACTGCATATATACTAAACTATACGCCAAAAACATAGCAAAGGTGCAGACAGTCGAAAAGTACTATTTACATCTATGATGCATACACAAAAAGAGTTTATAAAACAGTGCTCCAAATACAATTACTCTCAGAATTTTTGGGACAATATTGATAGTAATTTCCAGAAGGAGCTTCGGTGCTACTTTGGTAGACGGTTGCACGGATTTTGGCGATTTTTCCTTTGGCAAGTAATACAACTTATGGTAAACCCATTGCTGGATAAGTTATTTATGGTAACCAATACTTTGTTGTCATTTTATTAAAAAAATAATGCGTTTTATTATGCATAACTTCCGTGGTTTAAATATTATTTATGGCTTCTAAATATTAAAAATCAATTTAATTTTTGCATTTTTATTTGAAATAAAAATTTTTGGTTTATAATATTTATATAATTTTATGTTGTTGATGATGTAATCAATGACGTCACCTTACTTAAAAGTAATTGGTTTTTTAATATCTATAAATTTAATCTAATGTTTTAAACATTATTTATGGCTGTTAAATATTAAAATACAATTTAATTTTGCATTTGTTTTAAAAATGATTTTATTATGAATGATTATTTAAATAATTTTAATTCTATGCGTGATGTAATCAGCTCCCTGATTGGTTACTAAATATTTGTGCATTACCGCGCCATTTTAAAATTTTATTATTCATCTCCGGGATGGATAATGGAATGAATATCTCCGTTTCGAAAATGAATGTTGTTATTGGTAATTACCAAGAATTATTGGTATTGGAATAAAAAAATTGCCCTTTGAGACCTTATTTTGGCCAACCTGTCTTTCCTAATCAAAGATTTATTTCATAAATTGTTAAATAGCGTCAGAGGAAATTTATTTTAAATTTTTGGAGGAAACTTCGCTAATTGCTTTTTCAATGAAGTGCGAGATATGTGGATAACAGATGAAGATGGTTAAAAGAGCCGATTCAATTATGATTTTGATTTTTTTTGTGGTACTTATCAATAAACAAGAGGTTAATTTACTCAAAAAATTTAAGTACATATTTTTCTTTTATTTTATAATAGTATGCTTCAATTTTTGTTAAATAAATTAATACACTATTTTTAAAAATTGCCGAGATAATTATTGTAACATGTTTTAATGGTAATTATATTTTATATAACGTATTTTAAAGTATTTGAATTTAATAATATTCTAATTCTTTTAAATGTTGGTATGATGGTTTTTAATTCGATATTCAATTTCAGTAATATTTTAATCTAATTAAACGTTGGCACAATGTTTTTATAGCGGTGTTTTTATTCTCTTTTTTGCTATATGAAAGTAATAATAACCTTACTTTAGTATTTTATACTCATAGTAAATGTATTTATTTACACTTGCCTGCCATCTTAAAAAACGACATTTTCAACAAAAAAATTAATCCATTACTTTTAACGATATTTTTTTTTTTTTTTTTTTTTTTTTTTTTTTTTTGTTTCGAATACTTTACTATGCGTAAAAACATTGTAAAAATCTGACGATTGTAAAAATCGCGCCAACAATTGTGCCAACGAAAATCGCCAAAAATCCGTGCAACCGTCTACCAAAGTAGCACCGGAGCTTCTAAGGTATTCGAAACTTAAAAAAAAAATAAATAAATATCGTTAAAAGTAATGGATTAATTTTTTGTTGAAAATGTCTTTTTTAAGATGGCAGGCAAGTGTAAATAAATACATTTACTATGAGTATAAAATACTAATGTAAGATTATTATTACTTTCATATAGCAAAGAAGAGAATAAAACCACTGCTCTAAAAACTTTGTGCCGTTTAAAAGAATTAAAATATTACTACATTTAAATACTTTAAAATACG